GAAAGTGAAGGGTTTGTGGTCCTAACGGTCTGTGACCTTTTCTTGGCGAGTAAATCTCCTGTTTTTCGCCGTAGACGCTCCTAGCGAAGGGTTATGGTGATGACTCGAATCAGAGTAAGAGGTATGGACGACGTAGGCGATGAAACAATGGTTTTGTGGGACGTGACAGTCGATAGTCGTATCAGAAGCGCAACATCTAGGAAGACGTTGTTGAAGATTTCCTGGACGCTTTAAGATGAATCCGCTTGACATGATCTCTCTGCAAATTGTCAGTAATGTTCGGCGCATAGGAAGCACGTCAAATTTACCATATTGTCCACACGACTGAAGACCCTGTCGCATCCGTCCCAGTCACACAACACGCCCGGGTTGTGCTTGGCCTCATGTCTTGCAAGATCCTTTTTACTCGAAAAGCCTCCTCCTGTAGACTGTGGGCAGTCGCCATGACGGCAGAAGAAGGACTTTGTGTGCCTTTTATAGTGCTTCCTGAGATCGCAGCCGCGAGTGAAAACTGCTCTTGAAGTGCATCCTGGGAAAGCACAGCTCCATGTACCGTTCTTGTTCGGGATACCATAGGCTCGAAGATCCGGCGAAGAAGGAGAGAGCGACCGTGACAGGGCAGGTGGTGATCTTTCAGAGGGGACGTTGGACGGCATGCCATGACCTGCGGACGACGATGTGGAGTGCGATCTTGACGGTCGAGACGCACCGAAAGATTGTGAGAGCAACGTAGAGTCATGCGCAAGCATCGGGGGAGATGCCATCTCGGAGAAAGATGGGTAGGAATACGACGTTACTTGGGGTAGCGGTATTGATGATGGTTGTGTCGACCAGAGTGCGTGAGGTGGGTATGGGGACTCCATGACCGGTCTGTAATCTTGAGGTGGAGTGTACATTCCTGCGTGTGCGGACATGGTCGTTTGGGGTCGATGAGCCATGTGGTGTAGTGGTGGTGAGTACATGATGCTGGGGGGTGATTGACATGTGCTAGAGGGGTAGAGGTGACCCATGCCGTCAACCGGCGCCATGAGTGCTAGTTCTGCTTCGGATGAAAAGAAAGTCATCGTGGGTGACGCCAGGTGTCGTAGTGTTCAGGAGTGGTTCGCGGAATGGCGGTGATATAACAGGAAGGGGTATCTGGTGGTCGTCAAATGGCCGCAAGTCGAAGCCAACACGGGTTGTATATCATGCAGAGAGAAGGCCAGTGCGTCTTAAGCGGGAAGTGCAGCAGATGGGTGAGAATGACCAGTCTTAAGGCACAGACCCAAACTCTAGGGATTAGGTATGGTAAGGCTGCTAGTCCGGGGTGTACAGGATTAGCCCGGGAGCGCACTAGGGACCACTCCACAACGGTAAGGCTGGGGCGTCAGATTTGTCGAGAAAGCGTAGTGGGCAGTGGCGGTGTTGTCATATCTTGCAGTGCCTGAAACTCCACTGGGCCCTGGAGGACGGCCTGAAAGGGACCAAGTTAGAAATTGCGAACGCTGAGCGGTGGACCATGTGGCATCGACTGGTCAATGTAGATCCGGGGCGCAGACGAAGTTTGCAATGCCCAAGAGGATAGATAGCTACGTCGGGTCAGACATCCGATAGAGGAGTAGTCGCTGCTGCTTGTCATAATGGGACGTGGGTAATTTTGACTAACGCTCGCTGCGCTCGTCCCAATGAGATACCGTCCGTAGTTCATGGTCCCAGTTCAGACCGGGTGCATAATCCATTCACAATTGCGGTGGAGAGCGAGTGAGCCTCGCGGGCCGGCTAGCTAATCCTTGTGGGTGAAGGTACCGCCAACATGGCGACCGCACCGCTCTAGCGCTGGTCTGAGGAGTGGCCTACTAGGGTTAGTCCCAGGAAAGCTTCTGCCATCTCGCTTTCGCCTGTGAACGATCCTTCGAGCGATTAATGCGATACCTTGCAAACGACCAGCAGCGCTTCGGCTACCGAGTTCTCTGCAACATCCAGCGATGTCCTGTCTGGGCTGAGATGGTACGTACAGAGCGACCGGGCGATGTGTGCAGGGCGCAACCACAACGACAGCCACCCTTCAGGCTAGTTCCACGGGCTGCGGACCAACATCAGAGGCGGTAACAGATGAAGGGCAAATGAGCGCTCCCCATGGCGTTGGAGATGATGGGCTGCCGATCGCAGCATGGGAGCAAAGCGACGAGAAGCGGCCCTGGGTGGTCGCTTACGCCGGCAAAATTTTTGGGCGTAGCGCATGGGGATTATACGCCCCGCGCTACTCTTGGGCCGGGTGCCGTGAGATATTTTTAACCCCTGCCGCCTGGAGCACAGCAACCTACATACAATCAGGAATCACAGGGCAGGGTCTGAGTAAGCGACGTTTCAAGCGGTCTGTCTGCCAGCGATTCTACAGCTTTCACCAGCATTGTCCCTCCAATAACACCTACGTCGCGCTCTAGACAAGCGACCCGTGTTTGCCAAGACAGCTCCTGACAGCAACGGTTTGATTGCGTTTCTCGACCTGGACACCTAGCTCCACTGCGTAGCATGCAGTGAGCCTGTTGTTTTTGACGTGGCTAAAGAGCGAAGGACGAAACATGACCAACGAGCGTTATAGATGCAAAGACGGATCCACTTGCTGGCCAAAGCCAACGACAGTCTTCGAAGCGCCCGTTGTTCCAAAGCGGTTAAACTTGCTTTGCAAAGACTAGTACATGGTTCTTCTTGATCGGGTTTTGCGACCATGAAGTATCTACACCGCGTTGCCTTCGGACCGTCGGACATAGACTATTTCGTCCGAGATCTGCATCAAGACTCTTGGGCAACTCGTCGAGGAGCAGGATCGGAGAAGCTTTTCCAAGATGATCAAGGAGGTCTGGATGTCAAACATCAGACGGCCCCATCACAACACGGAAAACGCCCGTGTAATAACGGATACTGAGGCAGTACCCGGGCTGCATTGCGAGCAGCAGTCAGCATGCGCTGTCCGGCGCTTCAGACACACTACGCTATATGGACTGTATATTCAAGCCAACACACTCGCATATGGAGAGCGACAATTCGGAGGCTGTATATTCCTACGCACTGCCTCCTTCAAATACTGTGAAGTCCCAGGATGGCTGACAATCAGCTCTGCTTCCTCACCAATTGGAAGAACGGTCGAGTGCCAGACACCACTTGCGGTAGGTAGCGTTGACCATGTACTCGATCGGTGACTGCCAGGCGAGCACTCACTGCAAATTGACTGACAGTCAAGATTCGGCGCTTGCGTCACACTGCACACTCTCGTCACCTTCATTTTCGCTGGATTCCGCCGTTGCACCCATAGCTCCACTGTCCAGTGACATGTTCAATACGGGAGCTACCATCCGTACTGCCTGTATGGACCAACAACAGCTCACACGCTAGTTCATCCGCAGTCGCTCAGAAATAGACAGCGTCCACTAACGCACTTGATCTCAAGCTAAACAAAGCCAGTGTGTCGCAGTGATGGGGCCATGTACAATCAATCGAACGATGCTGTTAATGAAAGTACGAATGGTGACCATCAGGCACTAAGGCAAGGCTGATTCCGCTCTGCGAAGGACAGGATGTCATCGCAAATCTAACATACAGTCGACCAAAGCCTGCACCGTGTCGACAGACAAGCACTAGTCTCTATTCATCTTCTGGTTCGAGGAGCCCGGCACAAGCTGTCATTTGATGTGAAGACTAGCTGGCAATAGTCACCGTGACAGGCGATGATCTGCATACACGCAAACGAAGGATTTGAACCGCCCTCAGGCTTTCCATGACAACCTCCTCTTAAGAGTCATGCAACAGTCATATCAACATTTCTAGAACTCATGTTCAAGCATTGTAAGACTCGGCCCGAAGCCGATCATGAAATGAGACTAACCATACTGAGGATGTCATACGATTGGATGAATAACTGTCAGGGGGGCTCGTTGATGCCGCACCGGTATGGACCGTCTAGGCGACCACCAAGACTACCGGCTATCCCAGTATGTCAAGCATCAAGACCTAACGTCCCGTCCGAATGGCGTGCAACGGCCCTAGGAACCTTCATCTCACACTCAACAGCGGCATAAGCCGAATCTATTTACCAGGAAGCCGATTCGACCTCAACGTCGCAGCTCTAGATCTGTCTACTGCATCAGTCCATCTCTAGCCAAAACCCAAGACATTGTACGATGTGTGGTTAGTGGGGCCTCCAAACTCCATCCAAATGTCGAGGAGGACCGGCTTCTCTCGTTCACACCAACCTGTTAACTTCATTCCTACCAAATCTATTATTAGATATCGCGGCTTTACAACACATGTTTCTTTTGAAAGGCGTTGGAAATCGGAAGGAATGTCGAGGGGTGAAACGTGGCAGTGCTTGTTAACACAGCCTCAAATCGCCGACATCATCTTCAATCGCCGACCTGCAGATCCATAATCGCCGACCTACAAATTCCCCAGCATCCAGCATCGGACCCCACAGTGGCTACGACGCTAGGAATGTTTCCCACGTGGGAACGCATGTCAATGCTGGGAGTCGCAGTTGAGCCGTAGCGGTGGGTACACCGTGATAACTACCGATGATGGGATGGGATGCCTAAGATGCGAGCGGCGAAATTCTACCGCAGGATGCCTGAAACGTTCAGCCTCACATCTGTAATTAAACTTTACACAATGACGTTTAGAGGCTATGCTAATCATTTCATCCAGCACCGAGTTGACAAATTCCCCAGCATCGGCTTGATAGGCTACAGCCATGACAAGAATGTGAATTTTGCAAAATCACAGTAAGAATCTCTATTTTTGGGCCCCAGTTCTCTCCGAGACGGTCTGACGGATATCCACCGGTGCATGAGAGGCTTGCTCAATCAAGTGATTTTTACCTTAGATCAAAGTGCGCGGTTCTCGGGTCCTCCATCGCCATGTTCTCAATTACACACCAGCATCAGTAATGACAAGAAGACTATAATGGAGAAACTCATGTCTAGACGAGAACCACTTCAGCAGCTGAGATGTGCAAAGGCCTGCTGTGTTCATATCGTTGTCCACTCTGTTACCCGTCGGATATCCATAACCTTCCCTTCAGCACCATATCTCCCTTGCGCATCCCACAAATCCCTCTCGGCGCAAATCTCTGGTCGCCAACGCATTGCCTCTTTCATTTTCCCTTCACTCTTGTTCTCTACTATATCTGCAACCAGAGAGCCGATTGCAGGGCATGCCATGAAGCCATTTCCAGATCCTCCGACCGCTACAATCAAGCCTTGGACATCAGGATGCTTGTCGATGAGAAAGACACGATCCACAGTGTCTACGTCCCAGCATAAACGTGCGAAGCTCAAGTCTCGGGTTGCAAACTGTGGCATTGTGTCAGAGAGAAGTCGACGCATACGTGCTTCTGCTTCTCTCGGAATCTGTTTTCGCGCAAACGGAACGGAGCGCATCTTGCCACTGTTGTTGATGACAGGATTGATGTATCCCGGATGTTCATCGCAGAGCTTTATTTCGTGTCTCTCGGTGTCGGGTTCGATGAAGAAACCGCGATCCACACCATATAGCACAGGTAGGTTCCGGTACTGCTTCGCTTCTTCGGCTGAGAGGGGTAGATGTGCAAGTGTCCAGGCTGTGGGTCGAAGTTGACTCTTGAAGTCTAAGAGCAGGTCACTGTTCGCACCAGCGGATACAATGATGTGCCGAGCCTTGTGCTTTGTGCCGTCCCTCGTCTTTACCCCCAATACTGCGCTACTATCCGAAGTATACAGTAGCTCTTCGACACTGCCCTCCATGCTGGCAGTTACGAATTCCACACCCAATTTCACGGCTTCTTGATGCATAGCTCGTAGAGCTCCACTAGCGAACACCCACCCTGCGCCTTTCTTTTTCCAAAAGCCCCTCCAACCTGGAAAGTCGCCTTGTAGCAACCCTCCTGGCATTGTCTGCTGGAAATCGTGTTTCGTGTTCAGGGCTGCTGGGAAATCTTTCTCGCCTTTGGCATACTCTAGACAACGCTGGTGGGCTTCATCGCCAACAGCGGCCATGATAAAACCGGTGTCATGGTAAAAGGGTGAGAACAGTGGATCAAATTTCCATGCATGCATTGCAAGCTGGGTCAGTCGATTCCAGAAGAAGTCTTGGAGGGAGTCAGACTCGGAGGGTTCATTGCTCTCTTCCGCGATCTTATTAAGGTCATTTCCTGCGGAGATGGGCGAGGGAAAGGAGCTGCCGTCCAGGACTTTGATGGAGGTGTGTCCGCGACGAGCGAGCTCGAGGGCAATGGAGCAGCCCCATGTTCCAGCACCTACGATGATAATATTGCTGCTCGTCGGCAACATGGTGGGTGCCCAGCTTTGCGTCATCAAGAATGACATTGGCCGACGATGAAGCTTGCCAAGCCAGGACGCGTGAGCACGTGGAGATAAGCACGCTATCTCGAAGCGGCTGGGATCCCCGCGGCGAAACTTGCGCGACGGTACTTTGGTGGCTGAGCGACAACCTCGCACCCCCTGATGATGCGCATACGCCCTATAATACCGCGCAATGTCTGGCGAGGAAACATATCTGTCCGCCAATGGAACCAGGCGCGCTCCGTCGCCACTGCACCTGGCGGTAAGCGGGCGCGCTCAAAGGAGCAGCACCACTACTGGACCGATGAGAAACTATCTACACCTGCCGAGTATCCCTTGAGTGCGGCCATGGCGGAAAGGATACATCCCAACAAGGAAGAAGCAGCGCCGAAGAAGAGGAGAACACGGAACGAAGGCGCGGCGATAGTAAAAGGCGGCGTTCACGTCAGAACACAGATCGTAAGTCCCGACCTATGCGGTACGTCAAGTCCCGGAACACCCATCTTCGCTGAGCGGGACTAACGCCAGATACCCTTAGATGACGTCCTCAAATACGCCGGCCATACGTTAGATAAGCACAAAGGCTGCGATATCCTCGACATCAACCCTGGCGCCGGGCTCTGGTCACAGAAGCTGCACGAATACCTCCAACCGCGCAGCCACGTGCTCCTCGAACCGCGACACGAAAAGTTTAAAGACTTTCTTGACCCTCTTCTCACTGCACCCGGCTCCAGGTACTCACTCGTCGAACAAGACCCGACCGTACTCCAGACATACCGGGACATGGTTGCAAACGGTGTGTTCCCACACCAGACTGTGCTGGACGCTGAAGACCCCAAAGCACAGGAACCAAACAACACCCTGTTAGTGACTGGCTCTCTGGCATGGGATCCAAGACTTCCCGGCCTTGGTTTTGACTCAATGGCGAAACAGCTCGCCTACCACTTTGCCTCCGCTGCTTGGACAAACGATCTATTTCATGCCTATGGCATGGTTCGCACCTTACTGTGGGTACAGCACGACGACTTTAGCGGCATGATTGCCCAATCTATCAACGAAATGACCAAAACAAACCGCCTCATGCAAATGTTACAAGACACAACCCTCTTCATCCAACCAGAGCGCGCCTCGCGCAGCACGGGCAGAGCCTCTTCGGGCCGTGAACCACAGTACGAGATCGAGGCCACTGTCCGCGCTCTGAAGAAAGGGAAAGAGAATGGGATGGAGCTACCATCACATCGGCGCGACCACATCCACGACTTTGCTGAAGAAGTCGACCAGATTTCCAATGGCACAGGCGTAATCAGTTTTCAAACAATTCAAGATTACCTTCGCACGCAACAGTTGGCGGGTAGAAACCCCATTGGCCTGCTTTCACCTGGTCTCATCGAATACTACGATTTCATGAGACGTGTAATCAACGTCTTTCCACAAGTCGATCTTAACGACCCGACAGATGCAAAAGGCAAAAGAACCAAACGGCCGGTACCCCCTGACCACCCTTATAAGGACGACATACGGAAATTCTACAGAGAAAGTACTGGTATGGCGCTGACTCAGAGAAAGAAAATGTTGGCAGCATCCATAGCAGACGTTGGCGAGGCTATATACAAGCTCGAATGCAAGATTATTGACATGCCAGACGGCCCTGAAAAAGCTGCTGCAATGGCCGAGCTAAGCGAGCTTGAAACCCAGTGGAAGCAGGGTCTCGACAGTCAAAATGCCAACTATGCCAAGGTACCGGCAACAGAGATCGATGACCGCCTCGCTATACGCTCGCCGCCCTCACCTCGTCTCCAATCCGACTCCCGTCCTTTCGAGCCCCTCGTCATGCGTAAGAATGAGGCTTGGCCCCAGAGCCGGCTGGCCCTCGTCTCTGCTGAGCCCTTCCCCAGGCCTGTCGGCGGATCCCCTGACTTCTACGAGTGGGCGCGAGATTTCATCTTCGGACTCTTCGCGCACCCTTCGGATGGCATCAATCATGCTCTCGATAAGCTGCAACATGGGCTCAGCGACATCATAAAAGATTGTCCTAGCTTGAAAAATCCGAAGAAAGGTGGTAGACTGCAAATGGATCATCTCAGAGTTAGGATGTTAACATCCGAGATGATTCTTGAGCTCGTGGAAGCGTACAGGACCTGGCCGTTTAAAGAGCCAGGCAGTGATAGCAATCAGTACTTCAAGTATAAGCATGCGGGACAAACGTGGAATGGACAGTCTGCGGATCGATGAGGGATAATGAATACACAGCATGTTGCCACTGCTTTTTTAAGAGCACAAAGCCGCGGGTGCCAGCTGTCATGTCTCCCTACGAGATCGAAGGTGTCAGAATGTTGAAGACTGTTGAAATTCCCTGAAACTAGTAGTGAGCTCTAATAGAGATATGCCGTACTTTTCCGCATAGTCCATCTACTTCTCGGCGGTCAGCTAGTTTGTTGGGAGTTCTCCTTCGTGCTGTGCAAAGACAGCCAGAGATGACGCAGGATCCCCGTCTAGTCATCTCTGAGATCTCTGAGATCTCTGAGTTTGATCCTCATTCCTATTGATAGAGTATCTCTTCAATGTAACGGAACATCCCCATATAGTACTGTCCACACGGCAATTGGGAGCGCAGAGCAAATTGAATGTTTGGCGCAAGCCGTCGACGAGCGCCCTTGTTTTCGTGGACCATATAATCAGCAGGCTTGCATCTGACAGCATCTGCGATCTGAGTGGACAGGATCTGGCTTTCGTCTGACGCAAGAACGACGGGATGCTCAGCGATAACATGGTAGGCCGCATTGCTGCGGCAATCGATGGACAGAGTAAAGGCTTAACTAGAGGCGTCATTGAACCGCCACACGTGCAAGGTCGCCGACATGCTTCCCGGATTGTAAAATTAGAATTGACGCCACCCGTCGAGTATGTCTCCAGTAGACATTAGAGGGTAGACGGCGCGAGGCTGCATGCGCTGGTGAGAGCGAGGCACCTTGGGAGGTGAATGGACCCGATGTCCCTTGGTACCTAGCTAGCTAACGCGGCCCCGGGGGAGTAGGCGCGCTAGTGGACGAAACAAGCCTAGTCTCTTTTTTCTTCCCGTGCATCGGGTGCAGGTGGCTTCGATCGAGCCTCCCAGTTACCATCACATCACGCCCACCCTACAGCTTCACCCGTATAATTGAAATGTCCGGAGCAGAGAGTAATCCGAGGAAGCGGAAAGCCGAGCCCCGCGAGCGGCACGACGGCGGCGACAAACGAGCTAAGGTGAGTTCTTTTCTTCGTATCACTGTCAAAACTCCTCCCGTACTTGCATTCTTGGCTTCCCAGTTCCATTTTCGTCATGCAGCTGCAGTGAGATTCATCATGCTGATCCGAGACATCAGAGTAAAAGAAACTGGGATATGCCCCGCAGGGACGGCAGTCAGTCTCGTACTATCAAACCCGGTGATGCGGGCATATGGGCAACATGCGCTATGAAGAAGGAAGCAAAATCTGTCTCTGATCTGCGGGATCTATTCCAAGAGGTTAGCGATATCTTGATGCTGCACCATCCGCGAGCGACAGTGCTGGTGATGCTGATTCATGATAGTACGCTACTACCCTGCACGGCGCGGCCGGCTCCAATGGGACGGCTGCAGAAGACAGCTCTGACTCGGAAGGAGGTGATATCGAAGCTGAGATCCAGAAAGAGCTCGCCGATATTCGTAAGCCGACTACGAAACCCTTGTTCACATCTCTCAAACTCGACACCCAGTGCTGTGAGGATAGCCAATCACACTTCCGACCGCTCGGGCTGACCCAACAAAGTGATATTTTTTAGGACACGCTCACCTCTCGAACCTGTCTCCTTCGTTCATAAGATCTGTCAAGATATTGCAGATGGCGCTCAGCCGAAGAACTTACGCTATGTCAAGCGACTAACACCAATTACTGCGACCGAGAAAGCCACGCCACAGGGTCTTGAGGCTGTTGCGAAACAAGTCCTTGCGCCTCATTTCCATGGATCAGATCAAGCGGGAAAAAAAGTGAGCATTAGCTTCTTCTATCAGATGATGTAGTGTCGTCGTGCAAAGATCTCCGCTAACGTGTGGTTACCCAAGTTTGCGATACGCCCATCGATCCGCAACAATAAGGAGTTTTTGAGAGATGGCGTCATCAATACAATCGCAGCTGCAGTTGGTCCTGGGCACAAGGTCGACCTCAAAAACTACGATCTTCTCATTCTCGTGGAAATTTACAAGGTATAGTCATACCCCACGTGGCGATCACACGTCTCACATGCACCGCATAATGAGATCTTGACAGCTGCTTACATCCGACAGAATGTCTTAGGTATGAGTGTGGTCGGTCCTGACTTCGAGCAGCTCAAACGTTTCAACATCGAGGAGCTTCGTCAGCCGTTGCCCTCCGTCAAACCTCAGGTTGATGATCAGTCAGGGAACATCGAGAATGGACGTGTCTGAGAAGGAGACGAGTGGAATCGGTGCGTGGGGCAGCCGTCGTGGTGCTAGAACGCCTCGCGCAGCAATTTCCACAAACTGAAAAAATCTCCGATCGGGACCACCGTGGCTTGCATACGTTTGCTCTTGCGATGAGGCAAACGTCTAGTGGATCATCGGAGTGAGCACAGTAGCCACCTACTCATCGACCTGACATCCGGCGTGTTGCTACTACTCGTCTCCGAACTGCCGGGTGCATACTGCGTGCGGGCTTACATAGCCGCCACAGCAATGGCCCACAGGCGTGGGATGTGTGGAAGTAGTTGACTAGCTACGTAAAACATTGGGCCGGGCGAGTTGAGGGCCCGTACAGACATGACACTGCGTTAATCACAGCGTTGTTTTTTGCACTGTCAAACCTACATCCAATCGTCTCTCAGATTCCTAAGGATATGCTATCGAAAGATGTCGGTCAATGGTATCCTTCAGCCTTCTGTCGGCAGAACCAATCATAATTCGCGATACGCGATATCCTCATCGGGTGCCTAACCACTTGTGGGTATCCTTGAC